TAGAACATATCATAGTCTTTCATTAACCTATAACATATCACATTCGTTCACTAATAGACAACATATCAAAAACTGGTATTGTCCTTTCATATTTTTAATTAGTTTGGATGGTATTTTATTTTGTAGATGGATGAGTTTCAACGAATCCTTTGGAGATTTTCGGGACCTAACCTGAAAAATATAAAATTAAAAAAAATTAAACTATCATCATGCAAGGGATGACAACTGGGCGATCTTAGACATTGTGGATTTAGCTGATGAGACACTAGAATCGGGCGATCTTAGACATTGTGGATTTAGCTGATGAGACAGTAGAATTGGGCGATCTTAGACATTGTGGATTTAGCTGATGAGACAGTAGAATTGGGCGATCTTAGACATTGGGGATTTAGCTGATGAGACACTAGAATCGGGCGATCTTAGACATTGTGGATTTAGCTGATGAGACACTAGAATTGGGCGATCTTAGACATTGTGGATTTAGCTGATGAGACACTAGAATTCCACAATTGCATTTTTGTGTTAGAGTGATCCTAAAAATAGACTTTAAAAAGTGTATGAACAGATTAATGAACACTTTCTTTTAGCCACCCTATGACTGCAAGCTAGACGCTAGCCATAATGTGTGTCAAATCGTCGTTTGCAATATACGGCATCCACTCCAAGATACGCCGCTGAAAACGCTCACACAAAATCACTAATCCCGACTCAAGCCAAACAACTTTCCACGTGAACAAACTGACTGTCGAGCTTAAAATCGGAACATTGACATCAAGACCAGTGAACTTAAAGATGGTGCTGCGAATAGCTTAAAAGTTTAGAAGCACTAGCAGGAACCAGAGAGAGAGAGAGAGAGAGAGAGAGAGAGAGAGAGAGAGAGAGAGGGGGGGGATAAGGGGCAGGGGAGAGAGAGGAAGGGGGAGAGAGGGAGAGAGGAAGGAAAGAGAGAGAGGAGGGGGGGAAGAGAGAGAGAGAGAGAGAGAGAGAGAGAGAGAGAGAGAGAGAGGGGGGGGAAAAGGGGCAGGGGAGAGAGAGGAATTGGAAGAGAGGGAGAGAGGAAGGAAAGAGAGAGAGGAAGGGGGGAGAGAGAGGAAGGAAAGAGAGGAAGGGGAGAGAATGAGATGAATGGAAATAGAGAGAGGAATGAGGAGAGAAAGGGTGGGTAGGGGAGTGAGAGAGAGAGATCAAAAGAGAGAGGATAGAGAGAGGAGGAGATAGAAAAGAGAGAGACAGAAGAAAGAGAGAGAGAGAGCGATAGAGCTTCAAATAAGTGGGGAAAAAACTACTACTCCCCGTGCTATCTGTCAAGCTTGACTGAGCGGAGAATAACACCGGGACTCTGTCAGTGAGGGACTGTGTGTGTGCGATCTGGGGAAAATATGAAATTACGGGCTTTATTTGGTTAGACCAACTCCATTCCTTGGCGATTTCTCTCTGGGAATAAAGAATAATATTAGGTTAAACTGTAGCGGGCATTTGTGTGTGTGGGGGGGGGGGGGGTTATGGGGGAAGGGT